GTAGTGGTGGTAGCGGCAGTGGTAGTGGTAGTGGGGAGCGGTGGTAGAAGTAATAGTAGAACAACTCGTCGTCGCAGTATCTCCATGACTATTGAAAATATCACTGGTCAAGGATGTTGTTACTAATTTCTACTAGTATGACAAAACACTGAACTTATACACATGTGCGTGTGTGTACGTATATATATATACACACAATGTGTGAACCGCATGTGTGTGTGTGTATGCGTGTTGTCGCATGGTTTCACTTTTGTCAGGCTTCAGATATTGCGCCGGAACCCAAGCCCTAAACCCTTGTGTTGCACTGTGCTTACTTAGGCGGCCCTCTCTAATCCGTTGTTTCCGTCCAAAGACTTGTTCAGGATCCTGGCAGTGTTTTTGGCCGTCCTTCAACATTTCCTGCTAATGGTCAATCTTGATTGAGCAGTAGCGGGTAACAAGAGGCCGGAGCAAGCTGATTTTAGCAGCCTCGGGCGGACTTTTACTCTTTTGGAGTGACCGTGGTTTGGTTTCGAGGTTTTGGGGCCCCTTAGACCCCCCCTAAAACCCCTAAACCCTTCTACTGCAATACTGCACTGCTAGGCTAGTGTAGAACTACTGTACAACTACTACACTGCTGCACCACCGCACTGCTACTGTACAATTGCTGTAACTACTACTGCGCCTACTACTACTCCCTTCTGAAGAGGTTATCTCTGTCTACAGGCCACCTTCTGGAAAGTTCTCTACAGGCCCCCACGCCCCTTCAGGCGCCAAGGCGTCGGCAAATGGTTGGGGGGGCGGGCGGGGTGGCCGTGTCTCGCGTCACTAAACACAGTGCATCATTAAACCCCAAACCCCCAACCCCTAAGGTGAGTCTGTATTTCGATGAGCCCTGCATGCGAGGCGTTTTGGTGAGCTCTCACGCACGCACCTCCGGACTTCTGCGAAAAGAGGGGCACCTCGATCGCCGCTCTGCCTGCAGGCACCACCCCGGGATTGGCCGTCGTGCTTCAATGCTCAACGTTCAAATTTCAGATATTCGAGGTTTAGAACTTTAAGGTGTTGACACACACAATTTTCAATCGCGGGTTCTCAGCAAATTGCTCAATCATGCAGAGGCGGGCCTGCACACTTCTCGAACTGCAGGCGCAGGGCCGGAGAGGTGTTCTCTGTGACGATGGCCACTCCGGTCAGAGTGCAAGGTTCCGCCTGGCCTGCCGGGACACAGGGTGCCAGGGGGTTCAGTGCATGAGCATGTGGAACACCCAAAGTGAAGTGATAAGAAAGCATCACAAAGCATCACAAATTGCGAATCGACCTCTAGACTCTAGCCATTGGGCTGTGGAACTGTGCTGCTGATTTTCGCCATGGAGAATTGAATCGGGCATTAACATGAGTCCGTCCAACCCATCGCGGCCTATGTACACCGCGATCTCCGACCTGTCGGTGTTTGCCTGAGATGCGGCGAGACCGGCGGCATGCCTTAAGTCCTTGTCTTTGGAAGCCGGTGAAGTTGATGGAGATGTTGGTGATGATGCCTGTGGTGGTGATGCTACTCGTGCTGCTGCTGATGTTGCTTATGCTGACGGCGACGATGAAGATGATAACGCTAAAGGTGCTGACCACGGTGATGGCAATGGCAGTCGTGATCATGATGATGGCGAGGTGATGATGATTATGCTGATGCTGGTGATGATGATGATGATGATGGTGGTGATGATGATGATGCTGACGATGGTGACGATAACGATGACGACGGTGAGTGTGGTGATCGTACTGATGATGGTGATGATGACGATGACGATGACGATGATGATGGCTGTGGGGATACTTGTCGGTTACGATACTTCTGGTTGTCATGATGCTGACAGCAATGGCAATGCTGATGATGGAAAGCAAACGACTCTCAGTGATTCCACCGGTGGTGGCGTTGGTGGTGCTGGTGACGGTGGTGGTGGTTGTAGTAGAAGCAGTGGTAGTAGTCGTCGTCGTCGTCGCCGCCGCGGCGGCGGTGGTGGTGGTAGTAGTATTCGTGGCAACAGCAGCAGCAGAAGCAGTAACAGCAGCAGTGGCAGTAGCAATAGCAAGAGCAGTAGCAGAAGCAGTAGCAGTGGTCGTAGTAGTAGTAGTAGTAGTTGTTGTTGTTGTTGCTGCAGCTGTCTGTAGCTGTAGCTGTAATTGTAGTTGTTGTTGCGGCAGCAGCTAGCATTAGTAGTAGTAGTAGTAGTAGTAGTCGTCGTCGTCGTCGTCGTCGCCGTAGCAGTAGCAGCAGCAGCAGTGGCAGGAGTAGGAGGAGGAGGAGCAACAGCAGAAGCAGCAGTAGCAGCTGAGTAGCTACCGTCATGACGACCCGTACCCACCCATTGCTACAAAGACGATCAAGTACTCCTGTCACTGCAAGCAGTGACCCTGTTCTACCCTGAAAACAAGCAGGTCTGTTGCAACGATCACATGTCTAAGGTTCCTGCGATCCAATCCCCGCCGAAGTGAGATTCATGGTCCCATTGGAATTGACTTGACCTCCGATGTGCTGCGAGAGGAAGTGGTGCCACATGCTGTCATTACAGTATCACAATGTATCACAACATGAGATATATTGTCCTTCTGTTCTGTCACTGCCCTTGCCACCGAACCATGGCTGGTCGTGTGACGAGACCGCTGTTGCTGCAGCCCTACAGCATTACCAGCGCGCCCCAAAACGAACTGCATACGTGATTCATGAGCATGCTGCAATATTATATTGACAACTGCTACAGTATGTGGTTGCTTGCCGCAGGTTCTCAAGAACCGTCCCTGTGTACAGAGCCGCAGAAGCATAGACGGAGAGCGACGCACCACTCAGTAATACTCAGCAGCTGTATTCGCATAGCGTCGCAAATGCTTGCTTAATACTCGAAGATTTGCTTGTCCCTGCGGCCTCTGAAATTCGAGTTCCCGAGTGTAAGTGAAAAAGGAGGCTCTCTGAACCGAACAGGGGAGGACGCACATTCCGGACCTCCCGCAACACTGAACACATACTACCGCTGGATGCATTCGCTTGTCATGACCTGCCTTTCCAGATCTGCTGTGATCAGCATGACCAGATTTGCTAGATATTTCGACGTTGCAAGGCATCATGCCAAAGGATTTCCCATTCTGCTCATCAGCATGTCATCGTGGTTTCACGGCTTCTGTGTAGCATAGCCATCATGAGAACCGCATTACCTTCTGGAATCAACATCCTCAAAGACCGCAGCCCAGCATGCGACAAGAGGCTGCAGGCCGCTGCCCACACCACAGAGGCCCGTCAAATGCACCTCCGCGTTCCAACCCAAGGGTCTTGGTCTGCTTAGAAAGCCGGCAATAGAGGCCCGGCCTTCCAACACGGAAAAACGGAATGCAGGGATACTTCGATGTTTGAATAATGACTGCTTTCAATGAGAAGCTACATATACCGTATGTTTATCTCGGTGTCTTGTTCACAAATAGCAGGTGTGGCAGAGGGAGCGTTCCCGGTCGTAGTCATCGTACTAGTAGTAGTAGTAGTAGTAGTAGTAGTAGTAGTAGTGGTACAGTAGTGGTACAGTAGTAGTAGTAGTAGTAGTAGTAGGAGTAGTAGTAGCGGTAGTAGTAGTAGCAGTAGTAGTAGTAGTAGTAGTAGTAATAGTAGTAGTGGTAGTACTGGTAGTACTAGTAGTACTAGTAGTAGTAGTAGTAGTAGTAGTAGTAGTAGTACTAGTTGTTGTTGTTGTAGAGTTTAGAAGCAGGAGCGGCAGCAGATTCTGTTGCTGTTGGTGTTGGTATTGCTGCTGGTGTTGGTGCTGTTATTGCTGCTGTTGTTGCTGCTGTTGTTATTGCTGCTGTAACTGATATTATTGTTGTTGAAGTTTTGTTGCTGTTGCTGTGTTGCTGCATTGCTTGTTGTTGCTGTTGCTGTTGCTGTCGCTGTCGCTGTTACTGCTGTTGCTGTTGCTGTT